AGTAGCCAAGGATTCTAATTAAGGCTAAGAGGTAACCCATGTCTCAATAAAATCTATTTTTCTTGCTATAATCTCCTTCATTGGCTCCTTTGATATGTGATTCTGTGTTTGCATCTTGATAAGGCTTTTCCTGAGATTGATATGATTATTATGAGATAATCTTGATGTTTATGAGATGATCTTGATGTTTATGTGTTGATCTTGATGCTTCTATGATAATCTTGATGTTCTTGATTCTAAGATAAATCTTATAATCAAAGAGAATTTGAGATATTTCTTATAGTAAAGAGCATGTTTAGCATATCATAAACTAAAGTGCATAAGCGGCTCTAAGTAAGCCTAAGTATTCTTTCAAAAACCTATATCTATTTTGGAAAATCATTATCTAGTTGCGTTGAGAAGTTGCATGATATTTGATTTCCAATTTGTAAGAAAAGAGAAGTTGTTGAGAAGCTATGAGCATGAGTTTGCATAAGTAAAATTGTTGCATGAGTTATATCTAAATGTACCTAGTGTGAGTAATCTGTGGTTTTGGAGGCCCGTTAGGACTATGTCCTTTCGGAAGAAAAGAGAAAGTAAAGAAAGAAACTGACATTATATTGCGATCCGATATGAAGTAACGAGGTCGATATTCCCGAGTTACTAGGTAGGATACTACCCGCCGGGCTTGGAATCCCGGTCAAGGGGTGTGCACACTGACAAGTACGATACATGATTCCACGGAGTTTGAGAAAAGAACCAAGAGCGTGGTTCTGTGAGAGAGATGAGTATTAGGCCGGCTAGATGCCGAGCCTATATAGGTTCATTCAGGGCCGGCCCTGGGCATGTTTTCCCAGGGCTGGCGCACATGGCCCCCAAATTTTGTGGGCCCCATATTAATAAAAAAAATATACTAGTAGTATATATTTGGCAGCTGCATGCGGCATTCTAACAATTAACAAAGGGCCAAACGCAAGTAGGGACAAACTCACAAAACAAAGTAACAAACTCTACCCTAAATTATCCCTAATCTAGCGCCTTAACGACAGTCGGCACACAGAGAGAGTGACAGACGAATATCGTCTCAGACGATAGACTACAAGTCTTAAGTCTACAACAATTTAATTTGCCTAGGTAATTGAAGCAATTTTAATATTTAATTTAAGTTATTGAGGCTGTTGAAGTACTGCTAGATTAGGTAAATTAAATTTGGATATTCTCAAATCTTAATTGTATTCTTTGTTATTTGATTGTTTGTTTTCTTTGCTATAGTAATTTAAATATTCAATTTGGTTGTTTATTTGTATTTTTTGCTGTTTGACGTCTTCTAGGAAGCGCAATTTAGTGAATTGACGTAAAAATGATAGACTCAGCTCGTGTGTTACAGATTCTTCAATTCTTTTTTTTTTTTTTTTTTATCATTCAAACTCTCAAGTTCTTCAATTTTCTTGACACGTAATTAAAATTACGTATTGCTTCATAATTCTTGTTTATTATTTTATATACATGACTTAATAATTGTAATTTCAGAATAATATATTCAAGAATTCATTTCTTGATTAATTATTTATTGATAGAGTTTCTAAAAAAAAATTATTTTTTCCTTAGGATTTTATGTCTTCTAGAAAATATTCATTTGGGTTTGAGAAGCGTTGAGCAACTAACTCAATCTCAAAAAGGAGCTCTTGAAAAATTTATTACAAAAAAAAAAAAAAAAAAAAAAAAAAAAAAAAACTCAAATAGATGAGCAATGATGCCAAGGAAAAATGGTTAGATGCTAATCTTCATATAGAAGATCAGGATGATTGTGAGATTAGAAAAAATTTAAATAATAGTGTGCACAATGATGATAGGTATCACTGTCACTTTTTGCGTCTAAGTGTGCACGACGCATGTCACATTTTAAACGAAATTTTAGATTTTTTTTTATACAATATTTATGTTTTGAATTTTTGACACAACTTTTTGAATAACTATTATTTAGATATAGAAATTACTTGAAAAATGGGGCCCAAATTAAGATATTGCACAGGACCCCAATTTTTATTGGAACGGACCTGGGTTCATTCACATTATGGTGAAGTTCCTACCTCGCCCACTAGTGAAAGTAAAGAGAGAAAGCAAGTCAATGTGACTCTAGAGAAAGAAAGAAAGTGAGTCAATGAGACTCTAGAGAAATAAGAGAAAAGCGAGTCATTGTGACTCTAAGAAACCTCCGTTGAACAAGTGTTCCTTGTTACCAACGAAAGAGTGTATATGTATATCTATTTATACTTATACTAAAACATCATGTTCATCTTATTGCATGATTATAAGAGTTGCATGTTGTATATGAAAGTATGATAAGAAGCATAACTTTATATTGTCGACTAATCATTATATGATAGCATGTGTTTGCATATTGAGTTATATGATAGCATGGGATTGCATATTGAGTTATATGATAGCATGAGATTGCATATTGAGTTATATGATAGCATGAGATTGCTTATTGAGTTATATGATAGCACGAGATTGCTTATTGAGTCATATGATAGCATGAGATTGCATATTGAGTTATATGATAGCATGAGATTGCATATTGAGTTATATGATAGCATGAGATTGCTTATTGAGTTATATGATAGCACGAGATTGCTTATTGAGTTATATGATAGAATGAGATTGCATATTGAGTTATATGATAGCATGAGATTGCTTATTGAGTTATATGATAGCACGAGATTGCTTATTTAGTTATATGATAGCACAAGATTGCTTATTTAGTTATATGATAGCGTGAGATTGCTTATTGAGTTATATGATAGCATGGGATTGCTTATTGATTTATATGATAACATGAGATTGCTTATTGAGTTATATGACAGTATGAGATTGCTTATTGAATTATATGATAGCATGAGATTGTTTATTGAGTTATATGATTGCATGTGATTGCTTGTTGAGTTATATGATAGCATGAGATTGCTTATGAAGTTACATGATAGCACGAGATTGCTTGTTGAGTTATGTGATAGCATAAGATTGCCTATGGAGATATATGATGATATGAGATTGTTGTTGAGATATATGTTAGCATGAGATTGCTTGTTACAGCTTAAGTATATTATTAACCATCAGTATGAGCATGATTAGTGTATATCGCCATGATAAGATATGTATGTGAAAGCAGGAGATTGTTGATAAGCTAAATGATTGAGATAGTATGCCTATTTGATAATTAGGTTGTAAGCGTATAGAAATCCTATTGAGCACGGTTGAATGTTGCTTTAGTGATTAGGAGTACTTGATCTAAGTGTGTGAAACAAATGTTTTTCAAAAGTATATGCTGTAGTATTTTACAGGGTTGAGTGGCGTTATACTTAGCTTCGTGCTAACGTGTTGTTTTCTACTTGTTGTTTGTTAACCCCTTTCAGGTGGGCCCAGTTCTTGAGAGCGATCGAGTTAGACTAGATTAGCTTAGTGTGCTTGTTGTAGTCTAAACTCTTAGCATTTATGTCTACTTTGAGACTTGGTTGTAGACTTACCTATATGTTTTGATGCTGCGGGACACCGGGGTTTCATTCCCAAGTTTGTTTAAAGTAGTAAGATTGCTTATGTTTAGATCATTTCTTTGCCTATGCAATTACCGTGCATGGTGATTGTGGCGGTGACACCTCTTAATGTTGATTATTAGATTTATAATGCTTATTAGTTTTCCTTTCTGAGTTAAGTATTTGTTAATAAGGTTTAAGAAAAGTGGGGTGTTACACCGGAGTTGTATTAGATTTACAGCATGCAACACTGCGTGTCCCCAATAATTGACTGGTAGACTGGACCGTTGCAATAATGGTCTAGCTATTAGTTTTATTCTTTTGATAAGTGATTCAGCTAAACCATTCTGGGTATGGACGTATGATATAGGATGTTCCACCTCAATCCATATGGCCATACAATAATCGTCAAAAGCTGACGAGGTGAATTCACCAGCATTATCCATTCTTATGTTCTTAACAGGATAATAGGGGAATTGGGCATTCAACCTAATGATTTGGCTCATGAATTTTACGAATGCCATATTTTGAGTGGACAACAAGCACACATGTGTCCATCGGGTGAAAACATCAATAAGGACCATGAAATATCGGAATGGTCCGGATGAATGATGAATTGGTCCACAAATATCACCTTGTAGCCTCTGCAGGAAGACAGGCGACTCAAAACCAATATTAGGACGTGAGGGCCGAACAATAAGTTTTCCATGTGCACATGGAACACATGTGTAATCACTAATCATTTGTAGAAATGATGTTTGTCCTAAGAAGGTTATGTCCAGTTGAATTTGAAAGTATCCGGCCTATCATAGTTTGCCCAGGGTGACCTAAGCGGTGATGCGATAGACTGAAAGAATGTGTATTTTTAAATTTCACTACAAGTGCAACGCAGGAGTGTTGGGGCCTGATATAGGAATAATACAGGCCTGAAGAAAAGATGGAAATTCTTTAATTTCCTTTTTCTGGTTATTGACCGTTTTGGTCAAAACAAGGAATTCGGTATTGTTTTTAGTTTTAGTTTCTATGTGGAAACCGTTGGACCGAATATTCTTGAAATTAAGCGAAGTTCTTTTTGATTGAGGGTATAGGAGGGCTGAATCAATTATCAACTTTGTTCCGTTAGGAAGAATAAGTGAAGCCCTCCCGGAGCCCACAATAGGAATGTTATCATTCGCTATGGTTGAAAGGTTGCCTTTGTGTTCCTTGAACGTTTGGAAAAATCTTCGGTATATCAAAATAGTGTGCGTAGTTACACAATCAACCAATCATAGGGTTGATTCGTCTCCCATATCTCTAAAGAAAAAGAATGGGTATCAAGATAATGTGTAAAAATGATCCATTGTATTTATTCAAATAGAACAAGAGTGTTCAAAAAATGATCCATTATACATATAGGACAAAAGAGTTCAAATATAAACATGCTCGCAGGCATGAAGTAAAATGGATGTCCATAAGGGAAAGAGAGAAAAAAAGTTAGGAGTATCACTCCTAATCTCCATAATCAGCTAGTTCTTCGCCTAGCAGGTCATCATTCCCTAAGATGAGGGCATTTGCTTCAGGCAAAGATGATTGTCCAGAATCTTTCTTCTTTTGTCCTTCTTCCTGCTGGAGCATCTTTTGGTAAGCCTTGACCAGATGCTTAGGAGTCATGCATGTCCTAGACCAATGTCCTTTGCAACCACATTTATAACATGGTTGCGACTGACCGGAGTTATGTTGTGACTTGCTTGGTCAGAGTCACTACTGCTAGCTCCCCCTTTGCCACCTCGCTTTGGGCCCCTTCCCTGGCCTCGACCCCGCAGATTGTTGCTATGCTGGGCAACAGTGTGTGCTTCAGGCACAGGTGCAACGCCGGTTGGACGCGCATTGTGATTATGCATCAATAACTGTCTATGCTTTTCAGCCACCAGTAAATCCGTAATGAGCTCTGAATGCATAGTATACTTTGTATTCTTGTACTGCTGCTGGAACACAAGGTCATTTGGATGGAACGTGGATAAAGTTTTTTCAATCAAATCCTCGTTCGTAATTGTCTGCTTACAGAGCTTCAGTTGTGACACAATTTTGTGTAGGGCGAAGTTGTATTCAGTCACATACTTACAGTCTTGAAATCGGAGGTTAAGCCAATCATGTTGGGCCTGGGGGTGGACCAATGATGTCGGTTGGTCAAAGCGTTCCTTAAGAGATTTGAGATTTCCAGAGGACATATGGTTTTTTATTTTATTTTATTTATTTTTTATTAAGTATTCATTCTTGAGGTCATTGTTAAGATGGTGGCGGAGGAAAATGAGCGCTTTTGCCTTCTGGGCTGCAGTGCTTGTAGATGTCTCTTTAATGGTGTCCAACAGTTTTGTAGATTAGAGATATATCTCAATATCAAGAGCCCAAGTGAGGAGATTGCTTCCATCGAGGGCGAGTTCAACGAATTCTCTTTTTTGTGAGAGCAGCCATTTCGTTCACCGAGTATATTGAGCGCGCCAATAACGTGTTGTGAAATTGATGTCCGTTGGCCCATTAGCTCTTAACCGGTGATTTTGTATGATGAACTTGCACGTGTAGATAGAGAAATATAATAACAGTATTACAAGAATAATATAGAGGATGAATAATCTGATGAACCATTTCATTATCACTTGACAACATATATATATTACATCAAGAAAAATGGCTACAAACATATACATAAATACCAATTAATACACAATAATGTCCATTAATATTTTGATTTGTACTAACAATTTTTTCTTTTTTTTTTTTTATCCCTTTGATCAGTTAAAAGTCTGATCGCTCGAACCAACATTTCATGAGTTAAAAGAAAAAGAAAAAGGAAAAAAAAAAGAAAAAGTAAATAAGGCAGTAGTTCTTCCCTCCATATCTATATCTGAAACCAAATTCCCTCGTTTCCATCTCCGTTCTCTCTCTTCCCGCTTTTCTATACATCAAACCCCAGATCTCATCAATTCTCATTCGTTTTCTTCCCAAGTTTCAATTCCCCTTTTTCCTTCCCGGGACCCCGAAGCACTCCATTTCCGACTGCTTCAACCTGAGTTCCGAGGATTCTGTAAGATCAAATTTCAAGTACCGACAAGGATTCCCCAACTTCAAGGCAAAGGGATTTTTCCATATCAGATCATGCAGCAAGACTTGAAGCCGCAGCAGCTGCCTTTCATGGTGGTGAAGCCTCCATCTGGGGACTTCCGCCGCTTCTCTGCCGACCATCCGCGTCCCTCTCCTGCTCAAGAGCCTGATGACATCATCGTCAACACTCCTGTGAGTCTTGGAATTATGTGCGCTTGTTGACAAGTTCTTTTGTTGTTGTTTTTACTGTATTTATTGTTATTTGCCTATACTTGGACTTTAGTGACTGAGTAAGTTAAAGTCCATTTATTTTGTTTCCTTAAAAAAAAAAATCTGCTGTGGAAACTTTGAAAGTAGAATTGAAATTGGATTTTTCTTTAGTGCACTTACTTTTTGATTGATAGTAAGTAAAAATGTATGATCTTCTAGGTTCTAATGTTATGGTTGGCAATGTGAGCTAGCTAGGTTAAGCTGAATATTTGTTGGGTGACGAGGGAAACCCGCAGCTACTACTAATAAGTGGTAAATCCCGCCTTGTGACCCTAGTCGGTAAATTACGACAATGAGGTAAATTAGTCTAGGTTGTCCATAGCTGACCTGGCACAAACCAAGTGGGTTGAGATTCGAACTTGTGACCTTGTGGTTAAATGAATTCTTAATTTGGAAAGTGCAGTCATTTACTCATTGATTATGTTCATTCTTAGACCATAACTATCCTCATTCTTGATTCTGGTTTGGATTATTAGCTTGTATTAACCATAATAAAGTTTGGATCTTTCTTGGTTGTATACTTCCCTTGAATGTGAGTGATTTATGCTAGTCACCTTACTTTTGGAGACTTGTATCACCAGGATTGTGCCCATTGTTCCAATTGATTTAATTAGCTAATTCACATATTTCTCTTGCCTCAACAAGCATTGTTAGTCATAACTTGAATCGTTTTATGTATATGTTACTGTGAAAACATATGATTATAATAGTCTGTATTGTTGTATATTATTGTCACTGTGAACCTTATTTCACAATGCACTGTTTACAACCTTTTAATGCTTGTTTGATTCAACCAGCCATTGAAGTGGAAGACTGACATGGTGAGCTACAATCAGGTACCTATTGATCAGGACCCAAGTTTTGGATGTGCTGTCAACAGTCCAATGCAAACGCCAGCTTCAGGAAAAGCTAAAAAGGCACAGAGAGTACCTAGGACTTCAAAATCCCGCAGATATGTATCCCAGAATGCAGCAGATGATGGTGAGAATTTCCAATAGAAATGTCTGTTATGGGAAGTGCATTAAGTTACAAAGTATTATTAATGGCAAAGAAAATGAACAAGACCAGTTTTCTTTAAGGAAGAGGCAATAACTTTTGATTGCGGAATTACAGGATCACCTTCCGGCAACAATGTCACTCCAGTTGGTTCCTGTCGTTATGATAGCTCCCTAGGTAATATGTACTTTCCAAAATGAGTTTTTTTTTTTTTTTGGAAGTGCTTCTGCCCCTGTTCTTCATCTCCATTTACAGTAGCTAAGACATTGACAACATTGTTTTTACTTTCATCTAGGCCTTTTAACAAAGAAGTTCATTAATCTGATCAGACATGCAGAAGATGGTATTCTTGATCTAAATAAAGCTGCTGATACATTGGAGGTGATAACTTCCTAGTTGATTATTTAATATGTGTAGCTGATGAAGTTTTAAAAACTGAAAAAAATGAAAATTTTCTTCTTCAAACAGGTTCAAAAGAGACGTATCTATGACATAACGAATGTCCTAGAAGGCATTGGTCTAATAGAAAAGAAACTCAAGAACAGAATTCAATGGAAGTAAGAACTACCTCATATCTACATAAATGGCTCTCAGTTTTCTCTTTATTTAATGTGTACTTGCCTCAACATTTTTTTCATCACAAGAAAAGTGACTAATAAAGAGCGACATGGTTAAGCAGGGGTCTAGATGTGTCAAGAACAAGAGATTTTGATGGAGTTTCAAATTTACAGGTAAAAGGATATTTCTGTCATTATGGATGTGCTCTTTCTTATTGCATTGATTACGTACTTTTTGTTCTCTAAATCTCATAGCTAATCTTTTCTTCATTTCATTCTCGAGGAAGCTATGCTTAGACAACACTTCTTGACCTCCCAAATGCACTAATTAGGTGGCATGAGTGGTAGAGAAAACTTTTACTCATTAGGAATAGCACTGAATTTCCTCTACAATACATAAGTCAAGTAAATGTAATATAGTTCTGTTAGAGTGGCCTACAAAACCTGCTTACGTTATATCCACAGGCCACAGCGTTGTGGGTCCCTTTCAATTGTTACATGAGCTGTTCATAGACTTATTCTCATGTAATCTGCACACTTTTGCAGGCCGAAGTGGAGAAATTGATGTTAGAAGAGCGTAGAATAGATGAAGAAATCAGGTTTAGTATAATAACTTTAAGAAACACACTTCGATTCAACCATGGTTATTCTGATTTTATGTTTCATACAATTGTTTTAGAGAAATGCAAGACAGGCTGAGGGACCTGAGTGAAGATGAAAACAATAAAGGGTATTGTGTTCTTGGATGTTTTTCAAGTCTGTAATTTGAATTTTAAGTGGATTTTTTTATTTGATGTAGCTGCTAATGTTTTTATATGTGGACTTTCAATATGATCATACCAGATGGCTTTTTGTAACTGAAGAGGATATTAAGGGCTTACCTTGTTTTCAGGTACATATAACTTTACCAAAAAATTAGTCTGCTTTCATTTTCTTTTGTGTTCTTGTAGTCATGCCAATCATGTTTCTTTTATCACTTGGAATATATGTTGAATTATAAATACGGCATTTTTCAGAACGGAACACTTTTAGCAATTAAAGCTCCCCATGGCACAACTTTAGAAGTCCCAGATCCTGATGAGGTTGTTGCCTATACTTTTCAACGATTGAAGTTTTTGCTTCTCATCTTTTCACTTCTAAACTTTTCTTATCTAATTTAATATTCTCTTTAATAACTTTCAAACAGGCTGTTGATTATCCGCAAAGAAGGTACCGAGTAATTCTAAGGAGCACCATGGGACCAATAGATGTCTACCTCGTCAGGTACTTGTTTTTCTCGACACAAATAAAACACATCATCTAAACTCCCCACACTGACTAAGAGTTTTATTGATTGCCCTTAAAGATGCTTCTTTTTTCTTTTTTTTGAGTGACAAAGGAAACTCGTAGCCACTACTTGACGGTGTGCATTGGGTAAACCCTGCCTTGTGACCCTAGCCGCCAAAGGACCACAATGAAGTAAACAAGTCTAGGTTGCCCATAGCTGACCGATTCAAACCAAGGAGGCCAATAGGCCACTCCTATTGGGAGTCGAACTTGTAACCTTGTAGTTACCAAATCAACAACCTAACTAACTTGGTTGGGGTTGCCCCAAGATGCTTCTTCTTCTTTCCAAAAGGTTGAACCCCAACCCTAAGGGCCCCCCACACCCCGGCTTGACAGAGCATTTGGGAGGATGTAAATCATGGTAACTCAACTGAACATGAACCACAGAGGCTAGACCTTTGCTCACTGCGCATAAGGAGCCCCCCTCACTTTGAGAGGTTGCTCCCACGCTGCCGCTGGTGAGACTCGATCCCTGGTTATTTTTTCCAACTTCCACCTCTATGACTGGTTGAGCTGCCCATGCGGGCCCAAGATGCTTCTTCTTGATAAGTGGAGTGGTATACTATCTAATTGTCATTTGCTTATGATTAAATTGTTTGAACTTCAACCATCTAGTCAATTTGAGAAAAAACTCGAGGAGATGAATGCTGTGGATGTGGCACCTAGCATTCATTCAACATCAGGAGCGAATGAGAATGCAACTGCGATGGTAGAAACTGAGGAGAGTAGAGGAAATGAAGTATTGCAGGAAAAAGAAACAGAAAGAGTGTCCTCCAATGTTGGCACATCACAGGATTTCACGAGTGGAATCATGAAAATCGTTCCCGATGTTGATGTAAGTCCATTCTTACAAGTCTACAAAATTGCTAGCTTTTGTTTGGTGTCATTGAAATGCCCCAATTGCATTAGGATCTTATGGATTGTTATAAGATCTAAGTTAACAGAATAACAGATCATTCTTTCTAAATCTATATCCTTTCCAGAACGAAGCAGATTACTGGCTCTTGTCAGATGTGGATGTCAGCATCACTGATATGTGGACGACAGAGCGTATCCTAATTCCTAATGCTTTTCAGAACTTCTAAAGTTTTTCAATTTCGCTTTTCCTCCTAACCCCACTCCCCAACACAGACACCCCCAATTTTCCTTTCAATGTCACGATATTATTATTAGAATAAACAGATTCCCTGACTCTCACATAGCTAAAGTTAATTGGAGTGCCTTGAATTTAGTTCATGAAGATTACACTATGGCAAACATCAGTACTCCTCGTGCCCAAACTCCACCCGTTGCAGCTGAAACGCCATCTGCTGCCAACACTGCTGTGAGCTTGCCCGCGGTCTGAAGTGATGATCAGGCTTCTCCGTTTAGAACACAACTTCACCAGGTACACCCTTTACGAATAACCCAGAATGAAGTGGAAAGGAATATCTTGAGAGAGTTTTTTTGTGTTTCTTGTACATTGTATTCATTAACCTGTTTTTCTACATGTAGCAATAAAAGCAATAAGTTAAGCCCTTTTTCCAAATTTAGCTTTGTATCACTCTTTGCTTCTGCTTCAAACTTGATGAGTTAATGTTGCCTTTGGATTGCACAGCTAGAACATAATGTATAGGATAGAGCTTCATAGAGAGCATACTGCACACTATATTGTTTTCTCTTAGTACAAACACTTTACGGAATCCGATACTAATTTAGGGTGTGTTTGGTTGATGGGTTTTGCTCATAGGAATGGGTATGAAAGTGATTGTTATTGTTTGGTTGATAGGTTTTTAGAACACTACTATGGGTTTCGAATAGCCCATCAATTGAAAAATCCATACCCAAATAAAATAAGGGTTTCATTCCCTTATTCATTCTCAAGCACTGCTATTAGTAACCATTCTCATTCCACCCTACTACCAAACATGTTAAATACTTTCACCAAAACCCATTACCAATACCAAGTATTTAATACTCATTTCGATTCTCATGTGTGAACCAAACACACCTTTACGGGGCGTTTAGTTCAGGTTATATTACATAACCAAGGGAATGTGACATTCCCGAGCTTACATTCCTATGTTTGGTTCATATTCTCTGAGGGAATATAACATTCCCAGGGAATACAACATTCCCTCCACAGAGGATTTTGAAGGGAATGTGATTCCCTTCATTTTGTTAGGTAATGTAAGATAACCTTAGTTAGAGTTAAGTTGCTAAATTTCATTTTGTGGAAATTTTTTTCAAATTTGAATAATTCATAACATGAAGATCAATTTCTTGTCACTTAAATCACAACATATCATAAGGTCAAGGGTTAGATCCTTGGCTTTGGGAATGGAGCAGCCTTAAAATCTCCAGACCAGCTGTCCCACCCAAAAGAGGTGCCTACTATTCAGCGAGGGGATTAGTCACTGTGTCCGACGGTGAAAACTCTAGGTATATCAAAAAAAAAAAAAATCACAACATACTGAATACTATTGCATACACCAAAAAGTGATAATGTCCATTGCTCACAAGTCACAACAATTGATGAATGTGTTCTAGCCTGGACAGGGTGCCCGAGTGGGTGGAGTGTGATTCTTGTACTAGGTCACGAGTTCAATTTTTGATTTTTGTCAATATTTTCGGTTGAACATATCGCACATGATCTTCCTAGTGCGGTTTGCATCTCTTGCAGAGACACATTAATTGTTAGTTATTACACAGGACTGGAATTTACTTAGTGCACATTAATAGGACTCTTGTAGTTTAGTCCTGCTAGGTCTCTATCTGTTAGTTATATCATAACCGAACCATAGAGGCTAGACCGGTGCTCACTGCGCACAAGAAGCCCCCCTCACTGCCGCTGGTGAGACTCGATCCCTGATCATTATTCCAAAGTTTCACCTCTATGACCAGTTGAGCTACCCATGTGGGCCACTCATTCACATATTCAAATAGTGACTGGAGGTTTCCCTCATTATTTAAAAAAAAAAATATGGTCTATCTCAATTAAAATGTTAAGCAAATAGTTGAATTGTACATTTATTATTTATATATTATATGCTCAACAACTAAGGGTGTGTATTCAGTTGATTTCGTCAATAATTGATCAAAATTTGAAACGGTTGCCCAAAATAAAGCAATAGCACTTAATTGATGTGTATCATGTTCATGTTTGGTACAATGAACAATGGTGTTAAGTACTCCGTATTTTGTAATAACTAATTGACAAATGCACTATTTGGTAACATAGTTAGCTTATCAGTCAATTTTGACTTATTTAACCACTATTAGCTATTTGATTTGGTTAAACAATCAGTGAGTATTTAATTTTTGTAAGAACTTATTGTTCTGAAATGCTAAAATTCAAAATTTCTCTTTAGTTTTTTCAATCAGCTTTTTGAAAAAGTCATTTTACATGTAATCAATTAGCTATCAGCTAACATTTAATTTACTAAATACCTTTTTACAATCAGCTAATGTTATCAACTAGTCAAACCTACTAACTCAATCAGCTAACAACTATTTACCAAACGCTCCAAAATATTTAGATACAACTAAAATGTTTGTACGAAATTGATAGATTAAATGTTTGCATATGACAACAATAAATGCGCACACACAAAAAAAATGTTTTTAACATGGTGGGTAACGCACAAATTGCGATATTGATTTCCATCTGAGCTGCCCAATAATAATACTGCAATTTCTTAAATGATTCTTCTGGCAAAAAATTAAACAAATAATAAAAATTAATACAAGCTGGACAGTTGGTGAACAATTTATGTTGCTCTCAAACTCATAAAATGAATTTGTACCTTTTTGTTTGTTTGTTTGGTTTTTTTAAGAATTATTACGACCTCGTATTTTACTTTCAAGTAGAAAACAATTACTCCGTATAGTTCATGTCTTGACCTATATGGCAAATTATGCTATGGACCCGTGTCCATCATGTGCATGATAGACAAGCTATACATTCATAATTTTTATATTTTACATTTATAATTTCTGTATTGTAGATTCATAATTTCTAAATTGTAGATCCATAATTTCTATACTGTAGATTTATAAAATCTATACTGTAGATTCATAATTTCTATACTGCACACATTCATAATTTCTGTACTGTATGAATCTACATTATAAATTTTATGAATCTACAGTATAGAAATTATGAATCTACAATATAGAAATTATGAATCTACAGTACAAAAATTATGAATCTATAGTACAGAAATTATGAATGTGCAGTATAGAAATTATGAATCTATATTATAAATTTTATGAATCTACAGTATAGAAATTATGAATCTACAATATAGAAATTATGAATGTATAGTATAAAAATTATGAATGTACAGCGTGTCCACCATGGGTCCAGGGCATAACGCTCCGACCTATATAGTGTGGATGTGATAGCGTGAGTGTTTAATCAAGATCTACCGTGTATATTTTTCGTTGAATTAAAAAAGAAAAAAAAAAAGTCATTTTCTCTTTTATATATTAGTCAGTCCAAATTGTTAATAGGTCCACTCAAAATAATGGCAATTTATATTCTACACCACGGCGCGCGTTGCACTGTGCGCCCAGATACAAAACGACGTCGTTTTAAATTTTTTTTTTTTTTAAATTTCCCGCCCCAGTGAATGACAGTAATTTTTTCTTTAAAAAAAAATCGTTGTTCAAAAATGTACATAATGTTATACTAGAATACACATAATTGTATACATGAATGTACATCATTATATAACAAAATATACATACTCTTTTTAAAAGATAATACACATAATCTAACATAATACATAATAAACATAAACTTTTAACATAATACACATCAACTCTTAACATAATACACACAAATTTTCTGATTCTGATGTACACAATTGTATAAAAGAATGTATATAATTGTATAAAAAATGTACATAACTGTATGAACAAATACACATAATTGTGTGAACAAATACACATAATCACAGCAACTTCCTACCGCGCCTCCCAAAACGACCCCAAAACGACGTCGTTTTGGGAGGCGCGCGGCGCACAGTGCTATGCGCGTCGTGGTTTAGGGTATAACGATTGCAAAATAATGTTACAAAATGATTGTCGCATGCCAAATTTTTAACCGCAACAAGCAAGCACAGTTTGACCTGTACTCTCACTTTTCATTTAATTTCTTTTTTTTTTTTTTCTTTTTACTCTTTATTGACCCGGATTGATCCAAAACGAATCTTAGTTGTAATTTTTTTTTTTTTTTTGAGAAAATTGTCCTTTTCGTCCTTAAGGTATAAGATAATTGTAAAATTTGTCGCTAAGTGTTAGTTTTACTCACTTGTTGCCTTTAAATTATTATTGGTGTTGCACTTTTCATCCCTTTACTAACAAAGCATTAGGCACGAAAAGTGAGCAAGACCAAAACTTATCGACGAATTCTACATACAATTATCCTATATTTTAGAGACGAAAAATATAATTTTTTTTTCTCTTTCTTCTAATATAATTTTCTTGCCAATACCCTTTTGATTGAACTTATCACATAAAATTTTTCTAATACAATTAACGTATATAATTTATAAATTATTAAAATGTACATCCTCAAATAGTCGAATTTCTAAAGGAATATTTCATATCTGTTACAGTAATAACTTTGAGACAATATAAGCTTTTACACTTTTACAACAAAGAGGATCCACCACAATAAGTATTGCACCGCAACAAAAGACAAGGCGGTGTAATTAATTCAACTACAACCTTAAAGAAAAACAACTCAACAAATACAACACCCACTGCACCGTATAACACAAAACACATTTATGTGTTTTATTTTATTGGTCTTGCCACCCCCCCCCCCCCCCCCGCCCCCTCTTTTTTTTTTTTTTTTGAAAATACTAATCACTCCTAAAATTGCTATACACAAAGAAGTACTCTTTGATATGACAAAATGATAGAAACTAGTGTTTCCTTTTTAATTTTAAGTTTATGTGATAGAGAATAACTATTTGCGAAAGATTAAAATATGGGTGTGTAGTGTAATCAATCTACCCCTTCAAAATACAATTGTTATACGGTGGAACTATGGATCATGGTTCGAAAATGGCACCGTTTTTCTAACTAAAAACCGGCGGCTGTTATATTTAACAAATTTCGTATTTCTAGTGTGTTCATAACAAAATGAAATTATAGTATATCTAAAATAAAATTGAATAACTTGTCTCACATGTTGTGTTTATATTATCAAATGAAACTGTAGTTGAATTGAAATGATACTTAGTTGTGATGAAATGAAATTACATTATGTATAAAATGAAACTGAATAATATGTCTCACATATTGGGTGGATATTGTCAAATGAAACTGTAGTTGAATTGAAATGATACTTTAGTTGTGCTGAAATGAAACCTACAGTATGTATAAAAAAACTGAATAACATGTCTCACATATTAATTGGATTATAACAACGTCAAATATCTTCTTTGAACACTTGGCTCAATTCTTATACCTCTACAAATTATATTGTGAATTAGGGTCCAGCTTGTATTGTAAATGGTAAGCAGAGGAAAGCAG